GATCAACTTTACCTATGAATGTTAGTATCCAGTTATATTCCGTGTATCCAAGATAGAATCCCGGACTTTTTTAAAGCAATCCACTGAGCTGGCCTGAACCAACTCTTCAGGGAGTCTACTCCACATGTTCACAGCTCTTACTGTGAAGAAATCCTTCCGTGTTTGGAGATTATATTTCCTTTCCTCCAGATGTGAGAGTGCCCTCTTGTCCTCTGTGATGACCTCAGGGTGAATAACTCTACACCGAGTTCACTATATGAACCACTAATGTATTTATACATGTTGATCATATCCCCCCTTAATCTCCTCTTCTCAAGAGAGAATAAATTCAGTTCCTCTAATCTTTCCTCATAGCTGAGCTCCTCCATACCTCTTATCAGTTTGGTTGCTCTTCTCTGTTCTTTCTCCAATTCCCCAATGTTCTTTTTGTGAATTGGTGCCGAAAACTGAACTGCATATTCCAGATGAGGTGTTAAACTGGCCATACACGTATAGATTTTCGGACGAGAATATTCGTACATAAAGCCGTACGCAAATTCTTTGAACATTCGGTGAATGGATGAATGTCGTTCGAAAATTGTCTTTTTCTTTTAACATTTGAGTTTAAAATGAATGTAATTTCTGAACGATAACCACATATACTGGCCGAAAAATTAGCTTGATCAAGAAAAGTTTTCCTTCCTGCCCTTTCAAATTTTTCCGCCACTGCGGTTGAAAACAAACATCGATTTGACCCCACTAACGATTAGAAAATCAAACAAATATTCTTGAAACGAAAATTCACGTACGAAAATTTATACGTGTATGGCCAGCTTTACTAATGATTCATACAGGGGTAAATGATATCTTTCTCTCTGGAGTCTATACCTCTTTTAATACAAGAGAGGATTTTGCTCACTTTAGAAACCACAGCTTGGCATTGTATGCCATTATTAAGCTTGTGATCTATCAGAACTCCCAGATCCTTCTCCACCATTAATTCCCCCAGTTGTACTCCCCCTAGTATGTATGATGTATGTATATTCTTAGCCCCCAAGTGCATCACCTTACATTTATCAACATTAAACCTCATCCCACTTCTGACAGCATCAATTTTGCGGGCAGCACAGTGGCTAAATGGTTAGCACTTCCGCCTGGCAGTACTAGGGTTGTCGGTTCGAATCCCAACCACAGCACCACCTGCCTGGAGTTTGCATGTTCTCCCTGTGCCTGCGTGGGTTTCCTCTGGGTACTCTGGTTTCCTCCCACACTCCAAAGACATGCTGGTAGGTGAATTGGATCCTGTCTAAATTGGCCCTAGTGTGTGTATGTATGAATGTAAGTTAGGGACTAGGGGCGGACTGACACCTCATGGGGCCCCTGGGAAATAGGGGATCATGGGGCCCCTGTGTCCTTGCCCAAACTCGAAAAAGCCTATGAAAAAGGTACAAGGGGCATCTCATGGGGCCCCCTACTGACCCCGGGCCCTCTGGCAGTGCCCGAGTTTCCAAATGGTCAGTCCGCCCCTGTTAGGGACCTTAGATTGTACGGGTTAGGGACTGATGTGAATGTACAATATATATGTAAAGCGCTGCGTAAATTGATGGCGCTATATAAGTACCTGAAATAAATAAATAATAAATTTGCCACATAGTTGGCCAATTAAACAGTGCATTGAGGTCGACTTCTAAGTTGGAGACATCCTGTAAGGACATTATTCCACTGCACAGCTTGGTGTCATCTGCAAAGACTGAAATGGGATTTTTAATCTCAGACCCTATCGTTTATAAATATATTGAAAAGTAAGGGTCCCAACACTGAACCTTGGGGTACACCACTGATGACCCCAAACCATTCAGAGTATGAACCATTAACCACTACTCTCTGAATATGATCTTTTAGCCAGTTTCCTATCCATTTACATACAGATTTTTCCAAGCCTGTAGACTTTACCTTACACATTAGCCATGTGTGGGGAAACTGTGTCAAACGCTTTTGCGAAACCCAAGTATACCACGTCCACTGCCGCCCCTCTGTCCAAGTATACCACACCCACCGCCACCCCCTCTGTCCAAGTATACCACACCCACCCACCCCTCTGCCACCCCCACCGCCACCCCTCTGTCCAAGTATACCAAAGTATACCACGTCCACCGCCCGCCCCTCTGTGTCCAGTATACCCCCACCGCCACCCCTCTGTCCAAGTATACCACACCCACCGCCACCCCTCTGTCCAAGTATACCACCCACCGCCACCCCTCTGTCCAAGTATACCACACCCACCGCCACCCCTCTGTCCAAGTATACCACGCCGCCCCCTCTGTCCAAGTATACCATGTCCACCGCCACCCCTCTGTCCAAGTATACCACACCCACCGCCACCCTTCTGTCCAAGTATAACGTCGTCCACCGCCACCCCTCTGTCCAAGGTTTTGCTCACCTCCTCATAAAAAGAAATCAGATTTGTTTGACAACTTCTGTCTTTCATGAATCCATGCTGTCTGTTGCTTGAAATATTTTTTTCCAGCAAGAACTCAGAGTTGGACACCAATGTCAGGGCCAGCAGAAGAAAGAGGGTGTATTACAGATTGTGGAACTGTTATGATGGCATAACTTTTCTTAGAATTGCCGCAATATATGGTTAAGGATGGGATTGCTCTTTGCTTGTTTTCACCATATTTTTTCTTGCTACTGTTCACCTATTTGCAATATGTTTCTTGCTATAGTTTAGCACCTCATTCACATTGGGTGTGTGAATCTGTACCCCTTAAGAGGGCCATGTTTACTCACCTGGGGACGCACAGGTGTCTCATCGCTGTCCGTTGGGTGCAGCGGCTGCTGCACGGACACAACCGCTGCACCCAATGTGATATCCTTGCACACCATGGGTGCATTCGAGCCATGCTTTTTTCAGACTTGAAAGGCAGCACGAGAGTTGATTGTAATTCATGGCATCACACTTACTTCTAGTTTAGATTGTGTTTGAATTATTCTTTTTTTTTAATTTTTTTTTTTTTTACAAATATACGGAATATATATGGAATAATGTCTGCCTGAAGTGCCCCTTTGAAGAGTCCCTTTCTTCTTCTGTGTGTGCGCACAAAACCCATCATTTCCTGTAGGTCTGAAGATTACACAAGACATCCCTGATCGGCTTTGTGTCACTGGACAAGTTGAAAAGTTCATATTCTGCGTTAACCCCAGTCTATTGGCCAGGAGCAATGGTGTCAGCTGTGACCTCAGGTAACATTAGGATAAAGCAGGCAAATCCGAATTACTTCAATTAAATATGATTAGTAGCTTCAAACATTCATGTGTGGTATGTGTTTATGTTTGCATCACACCATGGCTCCTACCTCAAACAATGCTAACATTTTTAACTTTTAAATTTGAATGCAAATAGGTAATAAATAGCAGATTCTAAGACAATGGGGATTTTTTTGATTATTTAAAAGCTTCAGTATACAGTATGCTTACAGAATATTTGCATTTCACTGCTGCTCTTACCATAGAGCAAGATAACTTTTTGGAGTCTTCATCTACTAAAGAAAATAGGTATTATAATATAAATATAATATAATTATATCATTAATAATATATCATTATAATCAGGATTTCAAGGCAAATTATTCTTTTTTAAGAGCTTGCGTGTATAAATTCCAAAGTGGTTCATATACAAACATTTTACCAGCTGAATTATATTGTGGGGAGAGACATTTTCAAACAGCTGATATTTTGTCCAGTAACCTCAGAATAGATTACAGCCAGACATCACCCATAAACTCTCTTTACACTAAGGCCCTATTCACACTACAGTGATTTCAGATGTGACTTGAGTCACAAAGTGGAAATCAAATTGTTTTTAGTGCTGGTTGTTCACATCAATGCACCTTCTTCGTGGTGTGATTTTGGAAAAGATTCCTGTACTACAAGTACTTTGGTACGATTCCAGCACAATTGTAGCCCCATAGAATATACAAAACCACATCAAAGTAGCATCCCAGTTGCACTACATAATTACACTGAAAGATGGATCAAAATCCCATCACAGCAGTGTGATCCTAGCCTAATGAGTTATAACACTAAAGACTATGCTGACAGCATACATTTTCTGTATTCATTTTCATACAAACTTTGAAAAGCTCTTCAGTACTTAGCCCTGTGTCACGTACTTGGTGGTGGAGCCTAATGTGATGAGGAAGGCCTCTCTTTCACCTTGGCCTTGAGACCTCCTGGTAAGGTAAGGAGAGCCTGTTCGTACTTCCAGCAGTTGGGGCAGGTAGGTGGCCAGTGTGTCCAGTCAAGACGGACTGCAGGAACAGCTGATGAAGGCTTTTACTTAGTAGGACTGGCAAGGTGGCCAACAGGAGAACAGTAGTGACTGGATGGAAGCAGATGAACAATAATTGGTACTAGGCTGGCAGGTGGATGATCCCTTGACTGGCAGATGGATGGTCAGCAGACCCTTGACTGGCAGGTGGATGGTCAGCAGGCACTTGACTGGCAGTTGGATGGTCAGCAGGCCCTTGAATGGCAGGTGGATGGTCAGCAGACCCTTGACTGGCAGGTGGTCAGCAGGCACTTGACTGGCAGATGGATGGTCAGCAGGCACTTGACTGGCAGGTGGATGGATCAAAGATGGATCAAAATCCCATCACAGCAGTGTGATCCTAGCCTAATGAGTTATAACACTTAAGACTATGCTGACAGCATACATTTTCTGTATTCATTTTCATACAAACTTTGAAAAGCTCTTCAGTACTTACCCCTGTGTCACGTACTTGGTGGTGGAGCCTAATGTGATGAGGAAGGCCTCTCTTTCACCTTGGCCTTGAGACCTCCTGGTAAAGTAAGGAGAGCCTGTTCGTACTTCCAGCAGTTTGTGCAGGTAGGTGGCCAGTGTGTCCAGTCAAGCCGGATCGCAGGAACAGCTGATGAAGGCTTTTACTTAGTAGGACTGGCAAGGTGGCCAACAGGAGAACAATAGTGACTGGATGGAAGCAGATGAACAATAATTGGTACTAGGCTGGCAGGTGGATGATCCCTTGACTGGCAGATGGATGGTCAGCAGACCCTTGACTGGCAGGTGGATGGTCAGCAGACCCTTGACTGGCGGGTGGATGGTCAGCAGACTCTTGACTGGCAGATGGATGGTCAGCAGACCTTTGACTGGCGGGTGGATGGTCAGCAGACCCTTGACTGGCAGGTGGATGGTCAGCAGGCACTTGACTGGCAGGTGGATGGTCAGCAGACCCTTGACTGGCAGGTGGATGGTCAGCAGACCCTTGACTGGCAGGTGGATGGTCAGCAGACCCTTGACTGGCAGGTGGATGGTCAGCAGACCCTTGACTGGCAGGTGGATGGTCAGCAGACCCTTGACTGGCAGGTGGATGGTCAGCAGACCCTTGACTGGCAGGTGGATGGTCAGCAGGCACTTGACAGGTGAATGGATGGACAGTAGGCACTTGAGTGACAAAGGGCTTGTTGTATTATTTAATGGATTGTCATTGAGCCCAATAGGGCTGATCAGTGGGCACCTAGTAGGCAGGCGATTGCAGGTTAGCAGGGTTAGGCTAGATGGGTTGGCAACTGATGATTCAGATCAGGTGCAAACAAGAGACAAGAGAGTAGTCAGGTTCAGTACAGAGTCATCAACGATAGGACAAGGCAGGAATGGACTCCAGGGTGGTTTCATGCAGGCAGAGTTCAGCTGTAGTCAGAGGAGGGCCGGGTCAGTAACAGATGAGCAAACTCAAGAATGGGTTGCAGCTTCAACCTGGAAACATTGCAGACCAGACAGCAAAGAACTAGTGTAGCAGCTCCGTTTAAATAGTCTGTTTGCTGCCAGTATTAGTAACATGTGCACGCTCAGTCCTGCACCTACATGCACGGCCATTTCTCGGCCTGTACCTGTGCAACTATGTGCTCCAAAGCACCATTTTTACATGGGAAAGCCTTCCCTGACACCCTGTTAGTTAACAAAAGAAATCTAAGTAAAATATATCCAAAGACAAAATGTTTTAAATTAGCTTTGGATGGAATATTGAATATTTAAAAACCAACGAACTCCTCTCCTCTCACAGTCCGCCCTGAAGACCAGAACGGCGCGGGAACACAGCTAGAGGAATGCGCGGAGCAAAGGTAAGTGAATTGACACAGGGGGAATGAATTACTATAGGGGGGATGAATTACTATGGGGGATGAATTACTATATGGGGATGAATTACTATGGGGGATGAATTACTATATGGGGGATGTATTACTATATGGGGGATGTATTACTATATGGGGGATGAATTACTATATGGGGGATGAATTACTATATGGGGGATGAAATACTATAGGGGGGATGAAATACTATAGGGGGGATGAATTACTATATGGGGATGAATTACTATATGGGGGATGTATTACTACTATTACTATATGGGGGATGAATTACTATATGGGGGATGAATTACTATATGGGGGGGATGAATTACTATGGGGGATGAATTAATTACTATATGGGGGATGAATTACTATGGGGGATGAATTTACTATATGGGGGATGAATTACTATATGGGGGATGAATTACTATGGGGGATGAATTACTATATGGGGGATGAATTACTATATGGGGGATGAATTACTATATGGGGGATGAATTACTATATGGGGGATGAATTACTATGGGGGATGAATTACTATAGGGGGGATGAATTACTATAGGGGGGGATGAATTACTATATGGGGGATGAATTACTATAGGGGGGATGAATTGCTATATGGGGGATGAATTACTATGGGGGGATGAATTACTATATGGGGGATGAATTACTATGGGGGATGAATTACTATATGGGGGATGTATTTTCAGTTTTAAAAATGTTTCTCTCAAAATAAATTTCAATCGTGGTTTTGGCGAGATTTGGCTCAGTTGAAAAAAAAAGGTTGCCCACCACTGACCTAAGGCTATGATTGTGATTATGACGATACACTGTGGCCCTGGTTAACCCTTTGCTTACTGGGCCCTTAAACCCCCTTCATGACCAGAGCGCTTTTCGCAATATATGCAGTGTCGGATTTGTTTTAAATGTTGCAATGGTTTTGCGGCTCCCAGTCTTTTTTTCCCTCTCGGAAACGGGTCCAAGTGGCTCTTTATGTCTTAAAGGTTGCAGACCCCTGGCCTAGGCAAATGCATACAAAGTGAACAGATTACTTAGCCTTCTGTTACACAGTTTTGGTATATCTAAAAGGGATCAAACAGAAATTGTCCAACCAGATTGTAACATGTATGTTTACCCTTAGGTAGCTGACAACAAAGGACAGGTGTCCCCCAGGAAGAATCCCTTCCATTATTGCTCAATTGACAGCTTTAAATGCTTTATTTTCCCTTTGTTTTAGTCCCCATGGCAATGGGTCACCAGTAAAAATAGAGAGGGTGGATCTCTCCAGTGGGGATGCAGACAGAAAGAAGATTTTCCATACTTTCCCTACTCCCTATCCATTTTGTTTTCAAAAAATCTATTTTTTTATTTTAAATAACCTTTAAGAACAGTTTCCAACATATACGGTACATATAGCACAGTAGAGTCTCATTATAACAGAAGCTGTTTACATTTAAAGTGTTACTAAACGCAGGATCCTGCATTCACTCTATCCGGTCTCCCAGAGTACACAACATGGAAATGCAATTATTTTAGTAAATATAAACTGTTAAATACTTTTTCTCATCAGCAGTTAGAGCAGTCTTGTGACTTCTATCAGAGTCCAGCCGAGCACATGTTAAAACTTGTAGGATGAGTGCTCTGGGAGGATGCAGAACCCCTGACCTCTGTCTGGACAGCGCTGATTGTGCTAATCACATGCACTCTCCCATGAAAAAAACCTCTCTAGCAATACATTAGTGCATGTGCAGAGTGCCTCCCAGGGTTCTGTAGTATCAGCAGATAGATTGAAGACAGTGAAAGAAGGGGAGGATCAGAGAAGACAGGATCAAACATCCTTTTTACACAATGCAGAGGATTAACCCCATAAGTTCTACAGTAAGTATAACAAGCATGCTCTACTGCAGGAGTAGGCGACCTTGGAGTAAAGCAAAGATCCCCGGGGGGGTTCTAGATGGAGCCCTTAAAAGACAATATCACCCACAGTAGTGTCCTCTGTCCCTTTTTACATCACCCCCCACTGTAGTTCCCCCCTCACAGTGTCTCCTAAGCCCCCCCTCCCACAGTGTCTCCTGTGTCCCCCTCCCACAGTGTCTCCTAAGCCCCCCCTCCCACAGAGTCTCCTGTGTCCTCCCTCCCACAGAGTCTCCTGTGTCCTCCCTCCCACAGAGTTTCCTGTGTCCTCCCTCCCACAGAGTCTCCTGTGTCCTCCCTCCCACAGAGTCTCCTCTGTCCTCCCTCCCACAGAGTCTCCTGTGTCCTCCCTCCCACAGAGTCTCCTGTGTGCACCCTCCCACAGAGTCTCCTGTGTCCACCCTCCCACAGAGTCTCCTGTGTCCACCTTCCCACAGAGTCTCCTGTGTCCACCCTCCCACAGAGTCTCCTGTGTCCACCCTCCTGTCGCAAACGTGCGCAACAGAGACTGACGCACTCTCCATCTTGCTAAGGGTATTCATTTCTCCCTTATCCTTCCCTGACCCTCCCTCTCACTGAGAGGAGACATGTGGCCAGTGTGTGTACAGTTTATGGGTCACTGGCCGGCCAAGGCATCTCCAGCTAGGTGCCGAGCTGTCTGTGAAAGCTGTATCCTTTCTCACCTAGGAAGAGATAAGGCCAACTTTCCCAAGAGAATTGGAGTCTCACTGACCAAAGTACCTGTGTAATTTCACACCTTGTAACAAGATAACAGAGCCTTCCCAAGAGTTGAAAGGGACTTTGAGCTAATAACCTAGCTCATCGTAGGTGACAGAATTAGATGAACACTTCTCAAAGCAAGTTTTCCCCTATGTCTCATATCTTGGAATATGAAAGACTTACATAAAAACCGGACACCTCGTCAGATGGCCAGTGAGCAGGTGAACAGTTTGATGGGTCACTCGCTTATCTCGGACCATCAGGGAAGCCAAAACATAGAACTTGTGAACCGTGCAATATATAATTTCAGAATTCATATCTAAATAATCCCCAGGCTTGTCTGCATAATAATATACCCGCGGGTGGACTGTCACTTGTGCAGATGGGAAGTTATGGACCAGAATATGAATTATGAAAGATGTTGGCTCCAGTTTAGGGTTCCGCCTGACGATCCCTCCCTAAACAGGGGATTGGTCTTTTATTTCAGAACCGCCCCCTGCTGGGAAACTTTAAAACAGGCTGTCAAACCTAAGAGTAGGGAGTTGAAGAATTCTCCCATCTTTATCATCGTAACATAGGGAGATCAAAAAGCACCCTTCTGCTCAGAAAAGTGATCTGCTTACACCCAAGGCTTAATGGCAAGTACCTTAACACTTAAACCTCTCTCTGTTATCTCTTTGCTGTGCTGTTATGCTCTGTATATTTATATATATATATCTTAGTTACATCTTTTTTCTGTAAATATTTTTATTGCACCTGTTTGACCCTTTTAGTAATAAATCTCTTTCTGAAAGTGTTGAACTGTTTCTATAGCTCTTAATTGCAATTTACGAATCCCTGCCTTTGAAGAGACGCTACTGTTTGTTTTAACCCTCTGTATAACAGGTCTGTATTATGACCGGGTTATGCAGTTGATTATATCAACCATTATAGCGTTATAGCTGAACGTCGAGTTTCCTCTTTCTCTGAATAAAAAGGAGGTGGTGGCAGTGTGAATGGTTAATTTCCTAATTAACCTGTCCCAGTAACAATCGATCCAGGCTGCTGGCACGTCGATCTGTATCCATTAGCTGGATGTGCAGGGATGTGCAGGGTGCAGCTGGGTGTGGCATTGTTACGCACGTCACATCGCGGTTTTAGGTCGGCTAGCCCTTCGGTCACGAGTTTTGGTGAGAAGGTCTGGGATCTGACGCCGTGATCGTGACATAATAGACATAGCGATCGTGGGATCGTCGCATGTTGGTGGTAGCGATCTTGCGATCCGTGACACCTCCCACAGAGTCTCCTGTGCCCTCCCTCCCACAGAGTCTCCTGTGTCCTCCCTCCCGCAGAGGCTCCCATGCCCTCCCCCCACAGTGTCTCCTGTATCTCCTTCATATCATACACACACAAGTAGCACTGCCTACCTGTCAGTATGTGTAGAGCAGAACAGAGATCAGAAGACAATACAGTGCTGGGTGGAAGGCGGGAGCAGGAGCTGCCAAGCTGGTGATTGGTTTCTAGGACAGCCTAGCTACCAATCACTGAGCAGCTTCCGCCCCCGACCTCCATCCAGCACTATACTGCCTCCTGCTCTCCTCTCTGCCGGTAACATGAGAGCGGCGGAGGCAGGGGTGGCAGAACACAGTCACGATCGACCTTTTAGCTCTCCGCTCTACTGCATATACAGACTGATTTTACTGTTGTGGATTTAGTAACACTTTACTTCCATCACAATATTATTCCATGACATATCCCAAAAAAAGGAGCATTATTTCTCATTTCTGTGTAGCGGTACTCCCATAGGAGCCATCGGTTTTAAAGATCCATGAGGTCTTTTCCCCAATTTACCCCACAGCAAGGCATACAGTCACAATTACTTTTTGGTCCATTGAACAGTTGACGGAAGTTCTCTTTGGTGTTTTAATTTTTTTTGGGATAACTTGGATGGGGATAGGGATGAATGCTCCAAAAAGAACTACAAGTATGTACAAGTTGAGGACACTAGACTTCATTCTGTAGAACTATAAGCAAAGTTCTTGTAGGGGCAAGTAATTGACTTGGCTTGATTAAAGCAGATAAAAGCACGATTCCTTATTTTAAGCAACTTGAGCAGTCTCTTCCCACAGAAATAGAGACTGAGCTTTTCAGGACAGCAGTCGATACCCCTTTTTGCACACACAGCTAACTCTTGAGCACCAGAGCGATGGCACAAGCCCACAGTCTCTAGGACACCAGTCTGTACTCACAAATGTCCCCAGACAAAAGGATGCCTCCATCCAATGTCTTCCAAACACCTTTGCCAGTGACCTCAGACTAGGTTCTCAGATGAGAAAAATAAATCCTCGTGCACTGCCACCCCCTAAACAAAGACCCTGAGCTGCTGCAAGCACCCAATTGTGTTCCCACAAACCAATCAAATAAATAAATAATAGATGCTGCGCTTCTCCCTTACCATACATAAATTCAAGTCATGTGCAGTGATTTATAATTGATAATAACAAACAATAAATATATCAATAAATAATCAAATAAAATAAATTAATAAATGGTGTACACAGAATATCTGGGCAACCCTAAAAAGGGTGACAATAAATAAATATATATAAAGTGCATAAATATAACCATAAACAGGTAGCAAATATGATTGGTAAACACCCAGCTGAGCACCTCAATATTAACAAATAATCGTATCTTGCAAATAATATATGTTATATTATATATAACATATATTATATATATATATATAATATATGTATAGTGGTTATATACAGGGGCGGACTGACAACTCATGGGGCCCCCGGGCAATAGAGGATCATAGGGTCCCTGTGTCCTTGGCCACACTTAAACCACACCCAAAAAAGCCTATGAAAGGTACCAGGGACATCAAATGGGGCCCCCTACTGACCCCAGGCCCTCGGGCAGTGCCCGAGTACCCGAATGGTCAGTCCGCCCCTGGTTATATATATTATACGTCAAACCTTAAGGTGAGCGTGCACGCTGACAGGTGGAGGAACACAAGTGGTGTTTATTTTAAAAAGGTCACTGGTGGATTAATTCAAGGTTGAAGTCTTTTTCACAATAAGGCAATTTGGAACTATATTATTTTGTTATTTTTCACAATTTGTGCACATACAGTATATTATTTGCAAGATATGATTATTTGTTAATATTGAGGCGCTCAGCCGAGTGTTTACCAATCATATTCGCCACCGGTTTATGTTTATTTTTATGCACATAATATATATATATATATATTATATTGTCACCATTTTTAGGGTTACCCAGCTGGGTGTATATATGAGATATTCTGTGTACAACATTTAATTTGGTTTTATTTGATCATTTATTGATATATTTATTGTTTGTTTAATTATCAATTATAGATCACTGCACTTGAATTGAATTTATATATAGTAAGAGAGTAGTGCAGCATCAATTATTTATTTAATAGGTTCTCAGATGATAGCCCCTCTGTCAGCTTCCAGCAACTTTTAGCATATAGGCCTCCCAGCTATCCCAGCTGAGGCCTAACAAACAGCAAGCACATGGCAGGGACTGCCCAGAAGGCCTGCTGCCTGGACTTCTCCTCTCTAGGACAAGACATGGCTGCCCCAGTTCTCAGACTATTCATACCCAATTCCCAGCAGCCACCTGTGCAGGGCTCACAAAGATTGGCTGGGACAGTATAAATATTCATTACTTTACAACTGTGTTTCAGAACTGTCCAGAAGGTTCTGAAGAGACAGAGTGAAAGCAATTACATCTGCAACCTGTGAGAATAGTCATAAACAACCACATGCAGTTGCAATGACTACAGTGAACTAGACCTAAATTTGTCAAACCCAGAAAATGAAGCCACATTGATTGCAAACTAAATTTACCTAACAACAAAAATGCAGCTCCACTGGATATCGTGAGCCTTAACTAAATCTATCTACTCCTAGCACCTATCCAGGAGGGTGCTACAGTAAAATAGTGGGTGCAGCCATTTAAATCATTTCTTTTTGCCCCAGTGGCAAACTGTACATTCAAAACCACTGGCACATAGTACAGATATCACCAAAATATTAGGAAGTCATTTATTCAACACTACATACAGCTGTTTCCGGCTTATTGGCCATCTAAGCAGTGTATAAAACTATGGCCTTCTCTATGAAGTCATTAGCGCTGTTTTTTGTATCCGTATTGTTAGTTATTTATAAATGTAGCAAAAAGTGCTAAGCCTGAGGACTAGTTATACCAAACATTGTAGCCACAAAACAAAATAAAAGGAACAGATGCTCACAGTACAGACAGTGTGTTGTTTCCCCAGAAATACCCTGGTGCTGATGCTTATAGCTTCATTAATGTGATTAAAGGTTTAGCAGAGATAAAAGAGAATTGGCTGTTCTGTGCCCTGCATTTAATTCTCCATTCTCAGGAGCAGCAGACAGAAGAAATTCAGCTGCTCAGAAACATGTCTAACAACTATCCGGTCCTGATCTTTCTACTACTCTTTTATAATGCCTGTTCTAACCCTGTTTTTCAACCATCTTTTTTGCTGGACATGGCCAAAGTACTATTGGACAATTACTGCTTTCCTGAGAACCTGGTGGGAATGCAAGAGACCATAGAACAAGCAATAAAGAGTGGGGAGATTCTTCATGTTTCTGATCCTTTAACCTTAGCTACTGTTTTCACAGCTGGGGTACAAAGTTCACTCAATGATCCTCGTCTCATTGTATCTTACGAGCCATCTGCTACCGTGAAGCAAGAGACAGAAATCACCCTAACTCCTGAACAGCTGCAATTCCTTGTGGATCGTTCCATTAAATACGAGGTCCTGCCTGGAAATATTGGCTACCTTCGCATTGATTACGTAATTGGCCAAGATGTTGTTCAGCAAGTTGGTCCCTTCCTTGTGAAGAACATATGGGGCAAACTCATGCCAAGTTCTGCTCTGATTTTGGATCTAAGATACAGTACTCAGGGTAAGGTCTCAGGTATCCCTTTTGTTGTGTCCTACTTGACCGAATCTCAGCCTGTAGTCCATATTGACACCATTTACAACCGCCCTACCAACACCACCACAGAGTTACAGACACTTCCAGCCTTGATAGGTAAGCGATACAGTAAAGACAAAGATGTGATAGTGTTAACAAGCAAGTTTACAAAAGGCATTGCAGAGGATGCTGCCTATATTCTTAAACACATGAACAGAGCAATTATTGTTGGAGAAAGAACAGCAGGTGGATCTTTGGACATACAGAAAATGAAAATTGGACAATCAGATTTCTACATCACTGTTCCTGTATCCCGATCAATCAGTCCACTGACTGGGCAGAGTTGGGAAGTAGCTGGTGTTTTTCCCTGTGTTGTTGTGAATGCAGAGAATGCACTTAATAAAGCTTTGGCCATTTTGTCTGTTCGTTCCAAAATTCCAAGTGTGCTGCATCAGCTCAGTGGCATTTTGGGAAACCTCTATGCTTTCTTTGACCGCATCCCATCTTTGTTAAAGCATCTTTCAAACATGGACTATGCCTCAGTCATTTCTGAAGAAGATCTTGCAGCAAAACTAAATTATGAGCTTCAGTCAGTGACAGAGGACCCCAGACTAATTATAAGGTCCAAATCTGATACTCCAGTGCTTCCAGAAGCATTCCCATCTGGACAGAATTTACCAGATGGTGAAAATATTCTTCAAGCCTTAGTCAATAGTGTTTTTAAGGTTAGTATCCTCCCTGGGAACATAGGTTACTTACGATTTGATGAGTTTGCGGATATCACTGTTCTTGGCAAATTAGGGCCTTACATTGTTGACAAAGTTTGGGATCCAATCACAAGCACAGAAAACCTCATTATAGACTTGCGTTATAATACTGGTGGTCCTTCTACTGCTATTCCCCTACTTCTATCTTACTTCCATGAGCCAGAGTCTAGGATCCGTCTTTTCACCATGTATGACCGTCTATCCAACTCAACTAAGGAGTTTTATAGCCTTCCTGACCTCCTTGGAAAACGATATGGTGCTAAAAGAGGGGTCTATGTACTGACCAGCCACAGAACTGCTACAGCAGCAGAGGAATTTGCTTATCTTATGCAGTCTTTGAGCAGAGCCACAATCATTGGTGAAATCACATCTGGGACCCTGATGCATTCTAGGTCATTAAATCTTGAACTCACTCAGTTGACTGTCACAGTACCTGTTATCAACTTTATAGACAATAATGGCGACTGTTGGCTTGGAGGAGGGGTAGTGCCAGATGCTATTGTTCTAGCAGAAGAAGCTTTGGAAAAAGCCAAGGAAATCATTCTTTTTCATCCAAAAGTCTCTGCATTGGTAGTGGGCACTGGACTGCTCCTAGAAGTCCACTATGCTATTCCAGAAGTGGCTAATAAAGTCAGCAGTGCTCTTAAGAGTAAATGGTCTGAGGGTGGATATCGATCTGTGGTGGATCTGGAATCCTTGACTTCTCAGCTTACTTCAGACATTCAGGAAATCTCAGGAGACCATCGACTTCATGTATTTTACAGTGACATAGAACCAGAGGTCTTGGAAGACAAGCCTCACCAAATCCCTTCACCAGAAGAATTAAGCTACATTATTGATGCTTTATTCAAGATTGAAGTTTTGCCAGAAAATGTAGGATACCTGAGATTTGACATGATGGCTGTGCAGAAATAATTAAAGCCATTGGGCCTCAGTTGGTTAGTCTTGTCTGGAATAAGTTGGTTGATACAAGTACCTTAATCATTGACATGAGATTCAACAGTGGGGGCTATTCTACTGCCATACCCATTTTTTGTTCATATTTTTTTTTGATCCTGAGCCATTACAACACCTTTACACTGTGTATGATCGTAGCACCTCCACAGGTACTGAAATATGGACATTTCCAGAAGTAGCTGGCCAAAGATATGGGTCCTCCAAAGACATTTATGTACTCACAAGTCACATGACTGGTTCAGCAGCCGAAGCATTCACAAGATCAATGAAGGATCTAAATCGAGCCACTATTATTGGTGAGCCAACTAGTGGGGTGTCTTTGTCTGTTGGTATATACAAAGTAGGGGAAAGTCAGCTTTATGCCTCAATTCCTAATCAAGTGGTGATTAGTGCAGTGACTGGCAAAGTGTGGAGCGTATCAGGGGTTGAACCTCATGTAGTCATTCAAGCAATGAGGCCATGAATGTTGCTCAGCGCATAATTAACCTGCGTTCTAAAATTCCTTCCATCATCCAGACTGCTGGGAAACTAGTGGCCGATAACTATGCCTTTGAAGAAAATGGAGCAGAAGTGTCTTCAAAACTACTTTCTATGGTAGACAAAAAGGACTACAGAACAATTAAGTCTGAAATGGAACTAGCTGAAAAAATCAACTACGATCTACAGACTTTGTCAGGAGATGTTCACCTCAAAGCTGTCTATATACCAGAAAACTCAAAGGATCGCATACCAGGGGTTGTGCCGATGCAGGTAATATCTATACTTATGTGTAACTGCTAATGTATGTAGATTTCAAAAAGTCAGCAAAGTAATTGTTTCTGCAAGGAAGGCAAGGTTAGCCACTAGTAGTTCTGGCAATACTATAAAATAATTAATTTTATCTTATTATATTTAATAGCTTAGTCCAGGGGTCTCCAAACTTTCTAAAGAAAGGGCCAGTTAATGGTCTTTCAGACTTTAGGGGGGGCCAGACTGCTGGAAGTCAGAGAAGGAAATGTCCTGGCTTCCCTGGGAGTAAACAATGTCCGGTTTTTGGAATTAGGGGAGGTATAGTACCCCATCACTGGTGTCAGTGGATGGAATAGTTCCCCATCATTAGGGTCAGTGGAAGGAATAGTTCCCCATCAATAGTGTCAGTGGGAGGAATTGTGCCCCATCATTAGTGTCAGTGGGAGGAATCGTGCCCCATCATTGGTGTCAATGCGTGGCCCATTGTTGGTGTCAGTGGATGGAATAGTGGTCTGTCATTGGTGTCAGTGGGAGTAACAGTGCACCACCACTGGTGTTAATTGGAGGAATGGTGCCCCATGGTTGCTGTCATTGGAATGAATTGTATCCCAGCATTGGTATCAGTGAGAATAACTGTGTCCCAATGTAGGTATCAGTGGAAGGAATAGTGCCCAACTGCTGGTGTCAGTGGAAGGAATTGTGCCCTATCGTTTGTGTTTTGGGAAGAATTGTGCCCCATTGTAGGCATCAGTGAGAGAAATAGTGCCTCATCATTGATGCCATGGGGAGGAATAGTGCCCCACTGTTGGTGATATTGGGTGGAATTGTATACTATCATTTGTGTAAATGGGAGGATTTGCGCCCCATTGTTGGTGTCAGTGGCAATAATGATGCCCCATTGATGGAGTCAGTGGAAGGAATAGTTCCCTAAGGGCCAGATAAAAGCAAGCAAAGGGCCGCATCTGGCCACAGTTTGGAGACCACTGGCTTAGTCTAATAGAAAAAGGTTACTTTTTTTTATTTTAATTTCCATGCTTACAGTGTTACTAAACCCACAACAGTAAAATCAGTCTGTATATGCAGTAAAGCATGCTTGTTATACTCACTGTGGAACCTAAGCCGTTAATCCTCTGCATTATGTAAAAAGGCTGTTTGAGCCTTTCTTCACCAGATACAGACTGAATCTGCTGTAGTCACATGCACATGCTCAGTTTGGTGTGTATTGCTAGAGGTTTTCTTTTTTTGGGGGGGGAGAGTGCATGTGATCAGCACAGGGCCAATCAGTGCTGTCCAGACAGAGGTTCAGGACTTTCACATTCTCCTAGAACAGAAAGAAAACTCCTCCTACAAGCTTTAACCAGTGTTCTGCTGCAGTGCCAAGACTGCTCTAACTGCTGATGAGAAAAGGTATTTAGCAGTTTATATTTGCTAAAATAATTGCATTTCCATGTTCTATGTACTGTGGGAGACCAGATATAGTGAATGCAGGGTCCGGGGAGACAAGATATAGTGAATGCGGGGTCCTGGGTTTAGTAACACTTTAAAGTGTTAGATCACCAGTGGGTTCACACTGATGCGGTGCAAAATTTGCAGCTGTTTCTGTGTGAATTCCGCACTTAATCACAGTCACACCCCATTCATTCGAACCACTGCGGGTGTGTATGTTAACAACACCCCGAAATCAGTCCGCAAAACGTGTTGCAATGTGCAGAATCGGATCGCATGGGTGCGAATACCCATGCAATCCGATTCTAGTGCAGACCAAAAACCAAGAGAGAACCAAAAAAATGGTCCTGCACCTCTGTGGTGCAGATGTAGTACGATTTGAGCCATATAAAAATGTATGGCTCAAATCGCACCTCACAGAATTCGCATGTGATTTGCACAGGAATGCGGTGCGGTTCCTGTGTGAATGACATGCGATATGCCGCACTGCACAAGTGTGCACCCAGCCTTACAGAGAAAATGTAAAGGTGAACACCGGACACCCCCCCAAACTCCACAGTACTTACCTCTTCGGTTGCGGAGCTGTCAGCATCTCTGCAGCCACTCCAGCAGTTCGGGGATTTAAAATCCCCGCTCTTCTTACTTTTCTCCAAGTGGCACTTCTGGGATGGACCAGATTGATTCACTGTGATGGCGCTGGCCAGTCAGAACTGTTCTGGTCCATTTCAGAAGCAATTCACAGAGAAGAGGGAGAAGAGTGGGGGATTTCAAATCCACAGACCACTGGATCGCCTGCGGTGTTGGTAACCCTGGAGGTAAATACAGTGGAGACTTAGAGGGGTGGGGAGGGCATCTGACATTTTTCTGTAAAGTTAAACTAACCCTTTAAATTAAACCTGTGCTTAGATACTATGAGCTGCCATTGCTACCTATTTTTCTCAAAGCAATAATTATCTTGCTGTTAGTCTGTGTGTTCAATATTTTCTGAGGCACTGAGTATTCATATCAATGATTTTGGCTTCAGTTGCTGCATACCTGTTCAAAGTATTACAATCAGAGACCATCAGCAATTTCCTCCATAAAAAGCATGATATCGTTACTCTGTCCATTCTTTGCAGCATAGTGGTTATTCCAAAATTACTTTCTCCATTTGCTAAAAAGAAAACACAAAATTAAGTGTATGTTTTAAAACAATTACTATCCTTAGTATTTTTCTTGGAAGTATTGAAAGCTTGGTTGTTACTTTAGAGCAGCCTTTCTCAACCAGGGTGCCTTGAGGTTTCTTCAGGGGTACCTTGGCAAAATGTCTAAAAGTTGCACAAAATATGTATATAAGCCAGAGGGTGGAAGAAGCCTGACTTTTAGTTACACAAAGCCACAGGTTTTCATTGTGTGTAATTACGACCTTCTAGAGGCCGGGGGTCCTGACAACCAATGACATCATGAGTTGATAAGGAGGATGTCAGTTACCTACACATCATCCTAGTTGACCTTCCCCTGCCCCTCTCCATCAGTGCTGGGGTCACATTAGTGATGAAGAAAAACTGAGAGAAACACTAATACTAGTCAGGACTAGTGTCCAAAGGTATATTTGATTTGGAAGAATAAATCACTTCTAACGTTGGGTGTCCTACATGTGTAAATGGTGCTACATTATATAAAAATTATTAAAATAGTTTTTTACATTTTAGAATGGGGTGCCTCAAGACTGTCCATAATTTTAAAGGGTGCCTAAAGACTGTCCATAATTTTAAAGGGTGCCTCAAGACTGTCCATAATTGTAGAGGGTGCCTTGACTGAAAAAAGTTTGAGAAACCCTGCTTTAGAGGAACAGTATATGAAATGTTGCATCCAACAAGTTACAGTAGAGAATTAGAGGGTGACTATACCACTATGTTAAGGCGGTGTATAGCCAGAACATTTTTAGATTTGGATAGAGAAGGAAGGTGTTAGCCAGTGTATTTTTTTCCGTCTCACAGATAAAACCAGAAAATAGAGAAAATCTTTACAAAGTAAGGCCTCATGCTCATTGGGCGTTTAGCTTTCCCTGCACAGACACACTGTCCAAACCGTGCTTCCAGCAGCCTGCAAAACTACTGTATGTGAGAGCTGGAAACAAGACACACCAAAGGAGAAGCATATCTAAGGTCAGGTGTTATATGAGTATTACAATCAGTGTGCCTGGACAGATGAGGTCAGAGACATGGGGGTTATTTACTGAAACTGCATGGTGCAAAATCTGCTGCAGCTTTGCATATAACCCCATAAGCTTCCAGTTTTGTGGACAAAAATTATTTGAACAAGCTGAAATTAGAAGCTGATTGGCCCCCATGCACAGCTGCACCAGATTCTGAGCGCACTAGTTTTTAGTAAATCCCTCCCATGAGGCCTGAATATTGAGAAGAGCAGGACAATTCATCCACAGAAGGATGGTGTCCGTAAGTTTGTCTTCCCTATTGACACGTACAACCTGGTTGTCGAGCTCTGCATAGCTCATCCAATCTGGCAAGTCAACACTGCCAATGATTTAAATAGATTAATCCCCATTGATTTGCTTATTCATTGGCCTCTAGCTCTGCGTGATCAGGGAGGAAACTCAGAGACAGAAACAGGAAATGAAAGGAAATCCCTCCAAAGGGAGAGGAAATCCCCCTATATACCACAAAAGGTATAACAATTGGAAGATTTACCTCCACCTTCTTTTCCTGAGACAACTCTGAAATTTTGGATTTCCCATCATTTTCCGTTCAAGTAACCAATTATCCAATAACCCAATAATTACCTGGACAAACAGAAAGTTTGAATCTCACCAGTAGAGATGAGCGAATTATTCAAAAATTCGATTCGGCTGATTCGGAGGCGAATTCGCGGAATAAATTTGATTCGAGTCGAATATATTCGCTGCGAATTTAACTTATAAAAAGGGTGTTTCTTAGGCTTCAGAGAGCCTTTTATATTAGTGCAGAACACTGTACATTTAATTTAAATGCCCTTGGAGTCTGCTGGGGAAGAGAAATAAATACTGTCAGTCAGTATGACATGCAGATGAGTGCCGTCGGATCTTAGAATCACCGCACACTTCACTCGTTTGGGCAGTCACGGGGCCAAAACCAGAGTGTGGAGCCACAGTGTGGCGTGAAGGCAGCAGCAATGGGAGGCCCATTTACAGCACCCTATGAAAAAATGGAACCCACCAGCAGTGTGAGGAGACCATGAAAGTGGCACATGCAGAGTGTGGCGATGGAGACAGCAGCAATGGGAGGCCGTACAGGGACCCATGACACACTCTGGACCCTGGCAGCAGCATGAGGAGGCGGTACAGGGGCCCATGACAGATTACGGGCCTGGCAGCAGCATGAGGAGTCGGTACGGGGGGGCCCATGGCAGATTTACGGGCCTGGCAGCAGCAATGGGAGGGCCATACAGCAACCCTATGACAAAATGGAACCCACCAGCAGTGTGAGGAACCTGAAAGTGGCACATGCTGCGAGAGTGTGGCGATTGAGACAGCAGCAATGGGAGGCCTACAGGGACCCATGACACACTCTGGGACCTGGCAGCAGCATGAGGAGGCGGTACAGGGGCCCATGACAGATTACGGCCTGGCAGCAGCATGAGGAGTCGGTACGGGGGCCCATGGCAGATTACGGCCTGGCAGCAGCAATGGAGGCCCGTAATCTGCCAGCACCCTATGACAAACATGGAACCCACCAGCAGTGTGTGAGGAGACCTGAAAGTGGCACATGGCAGAGTGTGCGATGGAGACAGCAGCAATGGGAGGCCGTACAGGGACCCATGACACACTCTGGACCTGGCAGCAGCATGAGGAGGCGGTACAGGGGCCCATGAACAGATTACGGCCTGCAGCAGCATGAGAGTCGGTACGGGGGCCATGGCAGATTACGGCCTGGCAGCAGCAATGGGAGGCCATACAGCACCCTAACTGTGGACAAAATGGAACCCACCAGCAGTGTGAGGAGACCTGAAAGTGGCACATGGCAGAGTGTGCCGATGGAGACAGCAGCAATGGGAGGCCGTACAGGGACCCATGACACACTCTGGACCTGGCAAGCAGCATGAGGAGGCGGTACAGGGGCCCATGACAGATTACGGGCCTGGCAGCAGCATGAGAGTCGGTACGGGGGCCCATTGGCAGATTACGGGCCTGGCAGCAGCAATGGGAGGCCCGTAATCTGCCACAGCACCCTATGACAAAATGGAACCCACCAGCAGTGTGAGGAGACCTGAAAGTGGCACATGGCAGAGTGTGGCGATGGAGACAGCAGCAATGGGAGGCCGTACAGGGACCCATGACACACTCTGGACCTGGCAGCAGCAAGAGGAGGCGGTACAGGGGCCCATGGCAGAGTGGGAACGAAGCGTAAGCATCTTAAATTGAAGGCCATACAGAGGCCTATGTTAAAAAATATTTAACATGTTTGGGGCATGATTCATGGCGGATTTAGTCAGTTGTGTCAGGAACTGGTGGTTTGAAATCCAGACTAATCCACGCCTGATTCATTTCACAAACGTGAGTCTCCATCCACACTTTGGGTGGACAGTCGTGTCCTCCGCGGAGTTACAATACCTCCGCCGCACTAAACACACGCTCCAATGCCTCGCTACTTGGCCGGGCATGACAGCCTTTCAAGGGCAAATTCACCTAGTTGGGGCCAAAGGTCAAGTTTCGTTGCCCAGTAGTCAAGGGGATTGTCTACCTCGGTTGGCAGGGTGCTGTCCAAGTAGGCCCAAGCCTGTTGTTTGAGGTCCTGCTCCAGGTCCACCTGATGCTCTGCTGCGGCTGGTTAGTAGTTTCCTCACTGCGCTGGTGAAGAAAGCTACTCATCATCGACTGCAGACTGAGGCAGCCGCTAGCTGGTGGAGCTGCCACTGCTCCTACCACCCCACCCCTCCCTGCTGCCATGGCAGCGGAACGCGAGCGCACAGGGCCCACAGTGTCTGAGGATGGACGTTGGCGCAGAAAGGCAGAGACCAACTGACTACATAGGTGGTTTTTATAGTACGTTATTTTGGCCTCCCTCTCAGCAGTGTGAAAAAGGCCACCATTTTTGAACGTAGCGAGGGTCCAACAAGGTGGACAGCCAAAAGTCATCCCTCTGTCTGATGGTTATTATTCGGCTGTCGCTACGCAAGCAACCGAGCATGCTATGGGCCATTTGTGCAAGGAATGCGAGGGGACTCCCTGCCTCCATCTCCACAGCATACTGCCCACGGTGCATCTGGGTCCTCTGTCTCCTCCTCCTCCTCTACCAGATGCTCCTGCTCCTCCACTCCTGTCCGCTGAGTGGAAAAACCACCCATTTCACTCAATAATTCCTGAGCACCAATGTCCTCCTCTACCTCCTCCTCTTCTTCCTGTCCTGCCCCCACAGGGGTCATGTGGCGTTGAGATCTGTGCGCCACTCTACCGCACCCTGACCAGCCCATTGTTAACAGCATTTGTTCCAGGAAGTGCAACAGAGGAATGACGTCGTTCATCCCATAGTCCTGCCGACTCACGAATAGCGTGGCCTCCTCAAAGGGCCTGAGCAAGCGGCAGGTGTCACGCATGAGCTGCCAATGGCTGACATCTAAGTTACACAGGGGAGTACCTTTATCCGCTTGTAACATCAGGAAATCGGTGATGGCCTTTCGCTGTTCGTAAAGGCGGTCTAACATATGTAGGGTTGAATTCCACCTTGTTGCAACGTCGCAGATCAGGCGTCGTATGCTGTGGAATTCCGTTCTGGCCGCTGCAGCTCAAGGAGGGTGTGCTTTGCGGTGTAAAGAATGGCTGAAATGCATGCAAAGTTTACGTGACATTTTAAGGATGTCTTGCAGTGTGGGATGGTGGATTTTAGGAACTGCTTGACAACCAGATTGAACACGTGAGCCATGCATGGCGCATGGCACAACCTTCCTTGACGCAGAGCAGACACCATGTTCTTTCCCGTTGTCGGTCAACATGGTTCCGATTTTCAGTTTGCGCGGAGACAGCCATCTGTCGATTTCTCTGTTTTCATTACACTCAGAAGTTCCTCCCCTGTGTGACTACGTTCGCCAAGGCATACCAGGTGCAGCACAGCGTGACACCGTTGCGCCCTGCACATGTGATATGCCGGTCGGGTAATGGGACTTGGCACGGGGGTGGCGGCTGAGGACACGTGGGAAGAAGAGGTGGTAGAGGCGGACATCTTTGCTGGACCAAGGACGTGCAAACGTGGAGGCAAAAGCGGCGTGACCTGTCCAAGTTGCTGGTGCGGAGGTACTGTGCCGGCACCGCACGTTCACACCAGTGGGCCGTAAATGACATGTACTGTCCCTGACCGTAGTTACAGCTCCACACGTCGGCGCTGCCGTGTGCACTTTGGCAGAGACCAACATGCTCAAAGACTGGCCCACCATCTCTTCTACATGTGAATGCAGGGCTGGCACTGCCTATTTGGCGAAGAAATGCCTGCTTGGCACTCTCCACCCGCGGCTCGGCACAAAGCCATCATTTCTCGGAAAGGTGCTGAGTCCACCACTTGGAAAGGGAGGGACTGCAGCACCAGCAACTTGGACAGGAGGACGTTCAGCTTCTGCACCGTCGGGTGTTGCGTGCTCGCAAACTGTTGTGTCTCTTGGAAACGGATTCCAAGAAAGACTGCTTGACGGAATCCGTGAAGAGGAGTAGCAGAAGGAGCATCTGAACGAGCGGAAGATGCCAACGAGCGACAACTCCCCTCAGCAGAGGTGTTGGAGCCTTGACTGGCTGATAGAGGGCGATTGACGTCGGGTGACGGAGCAAGTAACGGAGCGGTGATGGAGCGGGGGCTGGGGGCAGGCAGAACCGCCGTATCTTTATCACGGTTTTTCCCAGGCCACCAAATAGCGACGCTGCATATGCTGACGCTACGCTGTAGTCCCAACATGGGCCCCCCTGGCCACGCTTGACTTTCTGGCCACATAGTCGACATACGGCTACGTTTACTTCCTCGGGGCGGCTTTGACGAAAAATTGCCACACCGCCGAGTAGGAAACTTTGCCCCCGCTACTCCTCACTGGCTGACTGCTACTTCCTCCGTGCACACCCGGCACCACTACTGGCCGTGGTGGTAGGGCTGCAGTGGAGCTGGTGCTCTACTCCCGTGGCCGTTTTGCCTCCACTGACACTGCTGCGACCCTGCTGCCTCCTGGGCAACCCACCGACTGTTTTTGCTCGCTGCCAAGCTGGGCACCCTCTTCTCCCCTGATGATGCGAAGCAATAGCCTGATGAAGACGAGGCTGCCAAGTGCGATCACCCTCATCATCATCAATTAGGGTCTCCGCCTCACTACTAGCCCCCTCGGTGCTGCGTGTGGGTCAGGAGACAGACCTGACTCTAGACCGGCTACCGAGCCACTCTCCTCGCCAGTACTCTCTTCGCCTGGCTGCTGAAGAGGCAGATGTCTCCCCCCGTTCCTGGACCGCCCTCTGTTAGGTCTTCCTCACTGTACAGTGGGCTGAGCCCCACAGCATGCGATACTTCGCTTGGTGAGGGAACACCAAGGACAGGGGCAGTAGAGGACACGTGATTTCAGTGGGCTTGCTCCCCGGGGCCATGCCAACTAACGGTTGGTGTCTGACGTACCCACCGACCGTTGGCTGTAGGTTCAGAGGTGACCTGGGAAGAGGAAGACGGACCGAGCCAACCAATCGATGACGGCAGGGTTGTCGGTGGAGACACGACCGCTGGATGACACCGGGAGCACTGGCCTCTGGGCTGCGACTAGTGCTGCCTTGACCCCTTCCTCTGCTGCCACGTCTGCTCGCTCCTGAAACATTTGCCTCCTCTGCCACTCCTCTGCGTGTGTGTCTGACATACTCTTTAATTCAACGATTCTGTGTCCCTGAGTAACGATTCTGTGTCCCTGAGTAACAATTCTGTGTCCCTGAGTAACGATTCTGTGTCCCCTCAGTAACGATTCAGTGTCCCTGAGTAACAATTCTGTGTCCCCGAGTAACAATTCTGTGTCCCTGAGTAACAATTCTGTGTCCCTCAAGTAACGATTCTGTGTCCCTCAGTAACAATTCTGTGTCCCTGAGTAACAATTCTGTGTCCCTGAGTAACTCTTATGTGTCCCTGAGTAACGATTCTGTGTCCCTCAGTAACGATTCTGTGTCCCTCAGTCACAATTCTGTGTCCCTCAGTAACAATTCTGTGTCCCTGAGTAACAATTCTGTGTCCCTAGAGTAACGATTCTGTGTCTCCCTGAGTAACAATTCTGTTCCCCTGAGTAACAATTCTGTGTCCCTGAGTAACGATTCTGTGTCCCGAGTAACGATTCTGTGTCCCTGAGTAACAATTCTGTGTCCCCCTCGAGTAACAATTCTGTGTCCCCCTGAGTAAACAATTCTGTGTCCCTGAGTAACAATTCTGTGTCCCTGAGTAACAATTCTGTGTCCCTCAGTAACGATTCTGTGTCCCTGAGTAACGATTCTGTGTCCCTGAGTAACAATTCTGTGTCCCTGAGTAACGATTCTGTGTCCTGAGTAACGATTCTGTCCCTGTAACGATTCCCCTGAGTAACGATTCTGTGTCCCTGAGTAACAATTCTGTGTCCCTGAGTAACAATTCTGTGTCCCTCAGTAACGATTCTGTGTCCCTGAGTAACGATTCTGTGTCCCTGAGTAACGATTCTGTGTCCCTCAGTAACGATTCTGTGTCTCCTGAGTAACGAATTCTGTCCCTGAGTAACAATTCGTGTCCCTGAGTAACAATTCTGTGTCCCTGAGTAACGATTCTGTGTCCCTGAGTAACAATTCTGTGTCCCTGAGTAACAATTCTGTGTCCCTGAGTAACAATTCTGTGTCCCTGAGTAACAATTCTGTGTCCCTCAGAGTAACAATTCTGTGTCCCTGAGTAACAATTTCTGTGTCCCTGAGTAACAATTCTGTGTCCCTGAGTAACAATTCTGTGTCCCTGAGTAACAATTCTGTGTCCCTGAGTAACAATTCTGTGTCCCTGAGTAACAATTCTGTGTCCCTCAGTAACGATTCTGTGTCCCTGAGTAACATTCTGTGTCCCTGAGTAACAATTCTGTGTCCCTGAGTAACAATTCTGTGTCCCTGAGTAACAATTCTGTGTCCCTGAGTAACAATTCTGTGTCCCTGAGTAACGATTCTGTGTCCCTCAGTAACAATTCTGTGTCCCTGAGTAACAATTCTGTGTCCCTCAGTAACGATTCTGTGTCCCTGAGTAACAATTCTGTGTCCCTGAGCTAACAATTCTGAGTAACGATTCTGTGTCCCTCAGTAACAATTCTGTGTCCCTGAGTAACAATTCTGTGTCCCTGAGTAACAATTCTGTGTCTGTCCCTGAGTAACAATTCTGTGTCCCTGAGTAACAATTCGTGTCCCTGAGTAACGATTCTGTGTCCCTCAGTAACAATTCTGTGTCCCTGAGTAACAATTCTGTGTCCCTGAGTAACAATTCTGTGTGTCTGTCCCTGAGTAACAATTCTGTGTCCCTGAGTAACAATTCTGTGTCTGTCCCTGAGTAACAATTCTGTGTCCCTGAGTAACGATTCTGTGTCCCTGAGTAACAATTCTGTGTCCCTGAGTAACGATTCTGTGTCCCTCAGTAACAATTCTGTGTCCCTGAGTAACAATTCTGTGTCTGTCCCTGAGTAACGATTCTGTCTCCCCCCCCCCTCCCTGAGTAACAATTCTGTGTCCCTGAGTAACAATTCTGTGTCCCTGAGTAACGATTCTGTGTCGCTAAGTAACGATTCTGTGTCCCTAAGTAACGATTCTGTGGCCCTAAAGTCTCTGTGGCCCTAACTCTGTCCCTAATACACAGAGGTCTGTTTCTCTTGAATGACCGGAGGCTAATGGAGAATTCTAAGATGGCCATCGATTTATAGCTCCACCATTACACAGTGCTGGCTGGCTGGCTGCTGATTGGCTAATGCGATCACATGTCATGAATGAATGCATTATGGGTCAGCGCGCCTTGTCTGCGCACCTTCCCAGAGATCCCCCCGCTCCGTCGCCACACATGACGCCGCCATTTTTGGGAAAATTCGATTCGCGCATCCGAAGTTTGCTAATTTTCGGATTCGGCTTTTTGGATTTTCGAATATTTCCTAATCTTCGAAACGAATTCCACTTCGTCATGTTCAATTCGCTCATCTCTACTCACCAGCAGACACAAGTAGCAATTCAACTCTTACTGTAATATTTCTTTATCATGGAACAAAATCTCCAAATAATAGCAAGCATACAGGTTCTTTATTGCAGAATGCTATATCTCTAATACAATAAAACAAATGTACCTGTCTGTCCCGTTTTGCTTGGAATGTAGACATGTGCAGCTCAGCGTGCACTGTGGTATTGCCCAGATGAACGACTTTGGAAAGTAGCTCAGTACCTAAAAAAAAAGTATTGACTGTACATATACCATACACATTTTAAATTAAATTTTTCAAGAAATATACAAGGGCTGTAGTTGCTGACCTCCTAATATTTTTTACTTTTCTAGCTACAATGCTTTCTGACTCAAAGACCTTGAAAAAATGATGCAGCAAATAAAGTCATACATGTTGAATATTGGTTCTAGGTCAGGGACTCAGAAAAATGCTAAAGCCAGAGGATAGGCATGACAATCAGGCAGCTAGCATTTTTAGTAGAATGGTAACTACAACACAAAAACAACAAATTATGATGTACAAACCAGTTTTATATGTTTTGATCAATGAAAAAATAAAATTGGCTGCTATGCGTTATTATACCTTGTACATCATCATTGCTTTTATGACTTTTTAACTAGTCACAGCAGCATATCATCATTTGATTTTAATTTTATTTTTATAAAAATAAATGTGATAATGGGATCAACATTTATTAGATCGCGCTAATTGCAACTTAAATGTGTAGGAGCTGCCACTATTTATGGATCAAAAAACTTTTTAAAATAAAAAAAACACCAAATGAATAAAGTGTTTAAAGTGGCGCTATGTGAATTAATCAATAATAAATACAAAACCATATCATAAAAATCACATAAATGCCCATAAAATTCAATAATAATAACACAAATATGTGAAAAGTCTGTGACTGCTGTAAAAAATTATTACAAACTAAAAAGTGATTGAAAGTCCATGAAAAAAATGTGATAAAGTAATCTAAAAGTTAATGAAAGTAAATCTTCTATTTCACCATGTGCAGCAAACTGACAACAAAGTGCTCCATAGGATACCCCACATGGATGTAAACTCAACAAAGGTATTTGCCTTCCACTCTCGTGGTTGGCAAACAAGCTTCTTGGGACATATTTTCCTTTTAAAGATGATGAATATAAATCACTGAAGATAATCCTTCATCTTTAATACACAAGCTTGTTTTATTGATTTTTCTTGTGAGTAAGGTCCAATCACTTTATTAAAGGATCTCTTTGTTCATACCCTGTTTCCCCTAAAATAAGACCTACCTTGAAAATAAGACCTAGTTGTGATCAGGGCTTTTGTTTAGCCGGAACATGGCGGAACGCCATTCTGCCACCTCCGCCACTGGCATTTGTGCACACCCATATCTACTGTCTCTTATAAACACAGAAGCGTGGCTGAAGTGACAGCACCATCCACTCCCACAGAACCTCCCTACCTCTGTACTTACTGTGGGACAGGGAAGGAACAGATATCTGCGGGCGCAGTATGCAGTGTGTTTAGGGTGGGGCATCGCCTCCTGCAGCCTTATGCATGGAAGCCGATGCCCCAGGGGTGGTCACCTAGGCCAAGCGGCCAGTGGGGAAGAGACGGAGTGGTGAGTAAGTGCGCTTGGTGTACTGTGTGGGAAATATAGGACCCGAAACGGGAGTTACTATAGAGAGGGGCCGGCTGCTGACAGCTGTGTTTTTGCAAAGCTAGCTAACCATACGAGGGCAGTGGAGGGGAGGGGGGATGTGCAAAGGTGAGCTGCAGTCAGGTGTTGCAAAGGTAAATTGAGTTAGGTGAGCTGCAGACAGGGTGCATAGGTGAGCTGCGGCTGGGTGGGTGCAGAGGTGAGCTGAGTTGCAACCCACCTTTGCTCCCACCAGCCACAGCTCAGCTCTGCACCCCCTGGCCACAGCTCAGCTCTGCACCCCCTGGCCACAGCTCACCTCTGCATTCCCCGTCTGCAACTTACCCCTGCACCCTGTCTGTGGCTCATATATGAACCCTGTCTGAAACACACCTGTCAAGTCACCTCTGCAACACCTGACTGCAGCTAACAACTGTCATCAACCGGCCCTCTCCATAGTAACCCTCATCCACAACTGCCTGCAGCTCACCTCTGCACCCCCTGTCCACACCTGGACATTTAAAAAAATTAATACCTACCCTGAAAATAAGACCTAGTGTGTTTTTTGTGAGCCAAAAAAAATATAAGACAGTGTCTTATTTTCGGGGAAACACGGTACTACACCTGGAGCGTTTTTTGTTTGTTTTACATGGTCAATTTGGATGCAGTGGAATCTTTATCTTTAGTGATTTATATTCATCTTTAAAAGGGAAATATGTCCCAAGAAGCTTGTTAGTTTTTTTTTCCCATCTTTGTCTCATTAGGGAGATTTTCCCTTTACTTCCTGTCCCATAGCCAAAACAAAAAGTGAAAGAGAATCTCTCCAAAGTGAGGAAATCCCAATGTGACACCAGGGTCACCAGAACAGTAGTGTCCCCACCAGACGATTTCCCCTCTATTAGTGTTCTGATGTCAACCCAAAATTTGGGATTTTCTTTTACTTTCACTTTTGATAATGGTATATAGTATAAAGAGGGTGAATCTCCCTAATGGGGTTACAGAGAGTAATAAAAACTGGCAAGTGTTCTAATCCCTCTCCACTCTATCCAAAACTAAAAAAATACATTTTGTCTTTAGTTACACTTTAATGTAAAAGAATTCTGTATGTAATCATCGACAAAATCTTGTAGATCCTTTAAACGTTTTTCCTTCTTTCAGATCCCTTCTCCTGATATGTTTGAAGATCTTATCAAGTTCTCCTTCCATACGAATGTGTTTGAAAAGAATATTGGTTACATGAGATTTGATATGTTTGCTGACTGCGAGCTTCTGCACCAAGTGTCAAATCTTCTGGTAGAACATGTATGGAAGAAAGTCGTTAACACAGATGCCTTAATTATCGACATGCGGTAAGAAAATACAGCTTGAAAAAAGTCTCATGTCCGTTGAATTTATCCAAAAATGTAAAGCCTAAGCCCAGATTTCTATTTAACTTTTAGTCCTCATGCACACTGGATGTTTTTACAGCGGCTGTTTTTGGCTTTTGACTTTTTATCTATAGCCAGTAGACTCCCCACACATAGACTGTAATCAACGTTTTTTGGCAGGGATGTTTTTGGCTGGAAGAAAACTAACAGGACTAGTGGGTTTCTAGAGGAGTTTTTTTAGCTGTAAAAACGCTCTAATGCTGAAAAAAACACAGCAAAATGTGGTAAAACACCACAAACCACTATTTTTGGACTTTTTTGACCAAAAAACATGCTAAAAAAAACTCAAATGTGGAAAAACATGGGAAAATGCGACTAAACGCTAATGCAAAACCACTAAAAAAAAAGCTGAAAAACTCACATTTTTGACATAACTTTACACAGCTAACATTACCAGCATTATCAAAACTCCCCCTGTGCATGGATCCTAAATACAAGGGCTGTACAGAAAGAAATGCAAAAGTGGGCATAACTTTAAATTATTCACATACAGTAGGTCATTCAAATTCAGTTAGTGGAGTAACTCTTCTGCTATAGTAACTTATTCTTTTTCATTGCAGGTAAATGATAAATTCCAAGCAGAAGCAATGTGCCGTCATTGAATTCTTGACGGGGAAGGGGTGCAGGTGGTTGACATTGAGACTCCATGCACACTGGGCAATTTATTAATGCTGGTAGCGTTAGCTGTCTCAAGTCACGTTAAAAACTTGAGTTTTTTAGGGGTTTTTTAGCGTTTTTTGGTTCCTCTAATCTTTCCTCATAACTGAGCTCCCCCATGCCTCGTATCAGTTTAGTTGCCCTTCTCTGTACTTTCTCCAGTTCCCCAATGTTCTTTTTGTGAATTGGTGCCCAAAACTGAACTGCATATTCCAGATGAGGTCTTACTAAGGATTTGAAGTGGGGGAAATGATATCTCTCTCTCTGGAGTCTATACCTCTTTTAATAATTTATTATTTTAATAATAATTGCTCGTATTAGAAATAGCAGCTTGGCATGTTTCTAACCAAAAAAAAATTGTTAAAAAAAAGCTGATTTGCTGCATTGTTTGTTACATTGCTCTTTTCAGTCATCTCTGTAACAATCTTTAGCCTTCTGTGGATGTCGGACAGTCTGAGCCCCTCACTCATGCTGTGCTCAAAGGAATGTGGCTTCTGCTTGGATTTTCATTATTTATCTGCAATGAAAAAGAAGAAGAGTTACTATAGAGAAAGGCTTACTCTTTGAATAACCTATGTGATAGGCCCAGATTTGGTGCCAGAAGGGTTGATATGTTAAAGAAGTGGATCATTAGATAATTCCACTGCTCCTGTGCAGAACTGAGCTATATTGGTGGGGAACTACCATTCCTAGAGGCCTAGGTTCCTACCCTCTTGGCAGCAGGAGGGGAGGAGGAAGAGAACTTTTAGCACAGTTTCTTAGGAAAACCAGGGTTTCTTGGCACTAGACCGTGAGGAGAGTGAATGTGTGTGGGGCTCGCAGCTCTTGAGTGCCCACACAGTCTACCTTCAGTTAACTGGAGGCCTGGTGCAAGATTGTCACATTGTTGCTAGTCATTGCAAGGTACTGGGCAAGATTGCCATCTGGTTTCCTGATATCTTAAGCCACAGTGCTTTCACGGGATCCAACCCCTGTCATGTCAGGATACTCAGCAACATCACGGAACTTCCCACCTTCCAGAGAATCCAGAGAGAGAATGCGAGCTGGTTCCTGCCAGTCCTGGTTCCTGCTGGGCAGAAGACTCACTCAAGTCGGTGCTAGAGAATCACAGTACTTCTGAGGGGCCCCTCTTCTGCAAGAACATGCCACGGAAGTGCCCGAGATGTTGAGAGGGTTGTAAACCTACCTTTACTTCAGGCAGCAAAATGCTGAAACAATAATCCACCATTTTATCCTCCCTGCCACACCAATAAGGCTGTGTTAAGCTAACCTGAACCCTTGTTGCCATTTACAGAGATACATTATCAATCTAAACTTATCAATAGACCCTTTCCTGTTTATTACTCCCCACTTATTCTGCAGCCCATTCATTTGCTGACTCACTGCAACTGTTCTCAGCAGGTAACAAAATATTCTTTTGTTCAAACTGTTTATCTGCCGCAATCTACCGCAATCTAACCCAGGCGAGAGAGACCCAGTGGGGAACAACTAAGTGCACCACCATAAAGGGCCCCAACGAAACTGGCATATGATAGAAACTGTCATCCATGGATATTCCATATACAGTCATGGCCAAAAATATTGGCATGCCTGCATTTCTGTCAGATAGTGCACCATGTTGCCCAGAAAATCGCTGCAATTACAAATGTTTAGGCATTCTCATGATTATTTCTTTTGTTTGTATTGGTATGACATAAAAAAGTGGAGAAACAAAAAGCCAAATCTGACACATTCCATGCAAAACCCCAAAAATATTTGGTAGCACACCCCTTGGAAAAAATAACTAAAATCAATCATTTTCTGAAACCATCAATAAGCTTCTTACACCTCTCTACTGGAATTTTACACCATTCTTCTTTTGTCATCTGTTCCAGGTCTCTCATATTGGAAGGGTTCCTTTTCCCAACTGCTGTTTTGAGATCTCTTCACAGGTGCTCTATGGGATTTAGATCTGGACTCATTACTGGCCAGTTCAATACTCTCCTCTTTGAAACCATTTCTGGGTGTTTTTTGACGTATGTTTTGGGTCATTGTCCTGCTGTAAGACCTATGACCTATGATGGAGACCCAACTTTCTGACACTGGGCCCTATATTGCACACCAGAATTCTTTGGTAGTCTTCAGATTTCATAATGCCATGCCATGAATATACGTAATGGCAAGAGGTGATTGGTTACGCTGGAGGGCCTATTGTTTCTGGCTGCTGGGTTTTATTGTCACTAGAGATCTATTGTTGCTGGTGGGGTCTATTGTTGTTGATGGGGGGTCAACTGTTGATCTAAGGGATCTACTGTTGAGGTGTATTATTGTTGGCTGCTAGGAAATTTATTGTTGCTGGTAGGGGTGTATTGTTGCTGCTGGGGTAGATCTATTGTTCATGAGGGGTCTGTTGTTGCTAACGGCAGGGGGAATCTATTTTATTGCTTTTCTTGATATTATTAACAAATTCCATGCAAATTACTTAGCACCACAAAATGATACTTTGCTCTGTATTCTCGAAAAGGGTGAAACTGGGAGATGGGTAGGGGGTGGAACCAAGGGACAGTGCTCAGATGTTCGTAGTGGGTGGAGACAAGGAATGATTCAGAAAGGGGAGGGGGGGGGGGCACCTGCACCTATTCTCTGAGAAAAAAAGCTACACACACACACAATATATTTATATATATATATATATATATATATATATATATATACTGTATATAGATAAGATTGTTTTTTTTTTACTGAATTTACAATATAGGAATGCCCTAGGCATCCTGTCTAGCAGAACATTGTTCCAGCAGGCATACTTGAATTTACTGAGGCCATGGGATGGGGCCAGGGGACACTTTTGTAAAGAAAAGGTCTGTGTACCTGTTGTTGCCACCATGCCTTGCTACAGTTTTAAGCGGATTTGCTCATTTGGGTTAAAATTCAGGCCCTGTTATTGCTGGTTTCTGGGTAAGGGGAGGGGGATTGTTGGTGTAGTAAGTCTCTGTCTACAGTTAGTGGCCAGCACTTCCAGCAAGAACATTTGTTAATGAAGGAGGTAATGAACAAATTAGTGTACTCCTGGTTTGATTTAAGCAAGCTGGTCCAATCATCTTCTAACTTCAGCTTGTTCAATTAAGCTTTGACAAAAAAAACCTGGAAGCAGATTGGTTTCTATACAAAGCTGCACTAGATTTTGCACTCTTCAGTTTTAGTAAATCAACCCTATAGTTTCAAAGGCCCTCACCCCTGTTCAATGATGGTTGTTCCAGTTTGACGTAGATGGCCTCTTTTATTCCTCTTGTGAACCAGTTGTCAAAATGTGTACTGATGAGTCTCAATCTGTAGAATTTAATCTCCTATGCTGGTTGCTCTGGTTGAAGGCTGCAAATTGAATGTCCCTTTAGGACTTATAACCACCCTTCCCACTTCTGGGTGTCATTCTTTCACCACTGGATTATCTTTTGTGGTATTTAGCAAAGTAAATGATCGCAGAGGAACATTTAGAGGCTGGGAACTTTGGTAAAGATGTTTTGTGAATGGAGATACCAAGCAGCTGGTGCTCTGAGATCTCAGCATGTACCCTAAAATAAAAAAAATTATTTAGAATGGATTTATGCTTTTAGCACCCCATGAGAAAAAAAAACAGTAACATTTTCTTGCTCATAGATTTAACATTGGAGGTCCCACAAACTCCATTCCAGCACTCTGCTCTTACTTCTTTGATGAAGGAACACCCGTTCTCCTTGATAAAGTCTACAGCCGGACTGCCAATGCCATTACAGATGTTTGGACCTTACCTCAGATCGCAGGTAGGATACAGAATTTGTACCCCTAAAGTGTATGTAATGCCAATGCTTTCTCTTTTGTTTTGAAAAGAATGTGGAAGGGTTTTATCTTCTGTTGAGCTTTTATTGCTCGGTGTAAGAAGAAAAGTGCCAAAAGAAGAATGTATTAAACCCAGACTGTATTTTATTAAAAATGAGATAGGCAGTCAGTACATCAGTATTGATCAATTTTCAAATATATATACCATAGTTTGTAAACTCTAACTTTCACACAGTAAATAATTTACACTAATTTGGGTTACATTTGCCAAAGAAATGTAGCAGAAAACATTTTGGTCTGAAGTTATGAAAAATATGTGCAAAATTTTTATAACAGAAACTACAATGTTTTTTCAAAAGTATTGGTATTTTTTCATCTTTTATAGAGCAAAAAAAGGAAAACCCTAAATACAACCAAAAGAAAGTTATTTTGCCCCAAAAACATGTTAAAAATTGAATTTGGGTACAGTGTTTCATGACTGAGCAACTGGCATTCAAAGAGTAACAGCACTGAAATCTGAAATATGGCCTGGGCAGGAAGGGGGTAAAAGTGTTTGGTATTGAAGTGGTTAAGAAATACAGTTTTTTTAAAGTGTATTTAAAGGAAAAGCTTTTTTTTTTTTTTTTAAATATGAATACAGTAGTGAATAGTTATGACCAGGGCTTTTTTTTCACTGGGAACGTGGGGAAACGCAGTTCTGACACAGCCAGCACTGAATGTATGCAATGGCAAGAGGTGCTGGGGAATCTACTATCACTAGAGGGGATTTTTTTTGTGTGGTGGTTTATTGTTGCTAGAGAGATCTATTGTTCCTGGTGCTGGATCTATTGTTGCCAGAAAAGAATTTACTGTTTAGGGAGGGGTCTATTGTTGCTGGCTACTGGAGATTCTATTGATGGCTGGCTGCTGGTAGATCTGTTATTTCTGCTGAGGGTCCATTGTTCTTGGGGTAGTGTTTTGTTGCGGGGGGAAATCTATTGTTGCAATGGAGGGGGGAAGGGGTTATTGCTGCTGGCTGCAGAAGATTCATTTTACTGCTTTTCTTGTAATACAAATTACTTAGCACCACAAAATGATACTTGACTTTGTATTCTCTAAAAGGGGCGATACTAGGAGGTAGCTGTGGGGTGGAACTAGAGATGCACCAATACTGTTTTTTAAGACAGAGTACGAGTGTTATTATTATATAGCACCAACAGTTTGCTCAGCACTTTCCAATATAAAGGGAGACAATACAGCAATGATACAGTTCAATACAAGAAGGTTAGGAGGGCCCTGCTCCTAGGAGCTTACAATCTGGGTGGGGATGGTGGTAAATAGGGTAATAACTGTGGGGGATGAACTGATCACTGAATCTTCTATTTCTCCTGAAGAGTAGAAGATTCCATGATTAGCTGAAGGCAGGATAGGCTTCCCTGAAGAGATAGGTTTTCAGAGATTGCCTAAAAGTGGGCTGAGTAGGCGATAGTCTGATAGATTGGGGTACAGCAGAGGATGGTGAGGCTCTGGAGAAGTCCAAGAGACGAGCATGGGAGGAGGAGACAATGGAGCTAGAGAGCAGGAGGTCATGGGAGGAGCGGAGAGTACGGTTTGGGTGATATTTGGAGACAAGATTGGGGCAGAGTTATAAATGGCTTTATATGCTATTGTTAATGTTTTGAATTTTATTTGTTGGGCAATGAGAAGCCAGTGGAGGGATTGGCAAAGAGGGATGGAAGATATGGAACGGTTTGTAAGGTGGATGAGTCTGGCAGCAGCATTCATGGTAGACTGAAGAGGGGATAGCCTGCGATGAGGTAGGCCAATGAGGAGGGAGTTACAATAGTCAAGGTGAGAGATAACAAGGGAGTAAATAAGTTGCTTAGTAGTTTCCGAGGTTAGGAACGGGTGTATCTTGGAGATGTTGCGGAGGTGAAGTCTACAAGATTTGGACAGTGATTGGATTTGGGGCTCAAAAGACAGATGGGAGTCTAGGATTACACCTAGTATCCTGGCATAAGTGAGGGACTGATGGTTGTCAGGGGAGGGGGCACGGTTACCGATACATATTTTTAGCGTCATGCGACGGGTTTTTTTAGATGAATGTAAATGTGTATATATATATGTATATATATACACACACACACAGTTGTGTTCAAAATAATAGCAGTGTGTTGAAAAAAGTGAAACAAGCTCAAAATCCTTCTAATAGCTTTTATTTCCATACACACAAATGCATTGGGAACACTACACATTCTATTCCAAATCAAAACATGAAGAAAAATATATCAAATTTGCGTTGTTCCTCTAAAAAAAATTTAAGTGAATATTAGACTGTTAAAAATAGCAGTGTTTGTATTCTTCTTTACAAACTCAAACATTCACTATATAAACTGAAAAATGTTTGAAGATTTTGCTTTCCTTTGAATGACTTAATTAATATTTAGCTGTATAAGCACTGTTTCTGAGAACTGCTGTACATGTGTTGCATGGAGTCAACCAACTTCTGGCACCTGTGAACAGGTATTCCAGCCCAGGATGATTGTACTACATTCCACAATTCTTCTCTATTTCTTGGTTTTGCCTCAGAAACTGCATTTTTGATATCACCCCACAAGTTTTCTATTGGATTAAGATCCGGAGATTGGGCTGGCCACTCTATAACATCAATCTTGTTGGTCTGGAACCAAGATGTTGCACGTTTACTGGTGTGTTTGGGGTCGTTGTCTTGATGGAACACCCATTTCAAGGGCATTTCCTCTTCAGCATAAGGCAGCATGACCTCTTCAAGTATTCTGATGTATTCAAACTGATCCATGATCCCTGGTTTGCGATAAATAGACCCAACACCGTAGTATGAGAAACATCCCCATATCATGATGCTTGCGCAACCATGCTTTACTGTCTTCACAGTGTACTGTGGCTTGAATTCAGTGTTTGGGGGTCGTCTGACAAACTGTCTCTGGCCACTAGACCCAAAAAGAACAATCTTACTTTCATCAGTCCACAAAATGTTGCGCCATTTCTCTTTAGGCCAGTCAATGTGCAAATTGTAACCTCTTCAGCAGGTCTTTTTCAACAGTAGGACTTTGCGGGGGCTTCTTGCAGATAGCTTGGCTTCATATAGGTGTCTTCTAATTGTAACAGTACTCACAGGTAACTTTAGACCTTCTTTGATCTTCCTGGAGTTGATTGTTGGCTGAGTCCTTGCCATTTTGGCTATTCTAATACCATCGAATGGTAGTTTTTTTTTTGCTTTCTTCCACGTCTTTCAGGTTTTGGTTGCCATTTTAAAGCATTTGCGATCATTTTAGCTGAGCAGCCTATCATTTTCTGCATTTCTTTATATGTTTTCCCCTCTCCAATCAACTTTTTAATCAAGGTACACTGTTCTTCTGAACAATGTCTGGAATTACCCATTTTCCTCAAAATTTCAGAGAGAAATGCACTGTAACCAGTATGCACAACATTTGCTGCCTTCCTTCGTTAAATAAGGGCAATAATTGCCACCTATTTTTCAAAGAATGAATGACCTCACTAATAGAACTCCACATTGCTATTATTTTGAACATGCCCCTTTCAGTTAGTGATTCAATTACACAGAATCAGCAGCATGCATGTCATGACTGTTGGGTCTGTTGGATTTCTATTATTTTACTACACCTGCTAGTAAATTATTTGCCATGTAGAAATATCATTTCTACCAAAAACAGTGATTGATCAGGTTAGTGATGTCTGACTGCTATTATTTTGAACACAACTGTATATATATATATATATATATATATATATATATATATATATAGACACACACACACAGGCCTTGAAATTTCCACTCGCCTGCTCGCCAACGGCGAGTGGAAATTATGGGTGGGGAGAGTGTGTCCCCCAGGGGCGTATTTGCTGTGAACCAAACAAGGCGTTTGCCTAGGGCAGCAATTTTTAAGGGGGCGGCGCAGGGCAATGCCGCCCCCTTGTTTACCACGGAAGGGACACTTAGTAGAGGGGCGGGCTGCTGTGTCTTACCTGGGTCTGCGACTCCGTGTCCCAGTCCCACGTCGATCCGGTCCACGAGTCGCTGCTGGAGGAGGGGTAGGGAGGTTGTCAGCGGGTCCGGTGTCTTCATTTCCCTTGATCGCGATGTGTGGGCGGGATGACATGCCACCCCTGTCATCTTCCACACCCCCGGGATCACTCAACAGCCTATGGCAGCTTGTCCCTCCCTCTGCAAGCTCAGCCTCCTCGCTGATGATTGGCCGCCAGAACTGTAGCTCAGGAAAGGCAAACACGCGGCCAATCACCTGCAAGGAGGCGGAGCTTGAAGATGAGGAGCCGAGCAGCAGCAAAAAGATCAAAGAAGTGAGGGATCAGCCGGCGCAAGTGAAGAGGAGAGCAACCAGTCCTCCCCCACCGACACCAACAATGGGGCACTATTTCTCCCCCCCACTGACACCAGTGATGGGGCACTATTCCTCCCCACACTGACACCAACGATGGGACACTATTCCCCCCCTCACCGACGACACCAATGATGGGGCATTATCCCCTCCCCCCTCCCACTGACACCAATGATGGGTCATTATTCCCCCCCCACTGACACCAATGATGGGTCACTATTCCCCCCCTCACTGACACTAATGATGGGGCACTACCCCCCCCCCACACACTGACACCAATGATGTACATTTGTCTGTGTATGTATACATGTGTTTGTGTGTACATGTGTCTGTGCTTGTGTATTTCTGTGTATGTACATGTATCTATGTGTATGCGTGTCTGTATGTGCTTGTGTGTGTATACGTGTGTGTGTGTGTGTGTACATGTGTCTCTGTGTGTATGTACATGTCTGTGTGTGTACAGGTGTCTCTGTTTGTGTGTGTTTGTTGGTGGCGAGTAACTCTTAAGGCCTGGCTAGTAGCTCAGGACTTGAAATTTTAAGCTCTGTATATATGTGTATATATATATATATATATATATATTAATATATGATTTAAATAGTATAATT